ATTACCAGTACAATCATTAGCAATGCATGATTCAGAATTATAATATGGTTCTAAATTAACTTCAAGCCTACCGTTATTCTTAAATGCTTTAAAAAGTAATTCATTACACCTACTAAAAACTAATACAGAATTATTCCTTGATTCAATTTTACATCCTTTATCCATTAAGGCAGTGAGTGACAATAAGTTATTTCTTAAATCAGAAATATAACTAACATTACTAATAGTTAAATTAATATAACTAGAATTCTTTGTATTTATAGCTTTTGCTTTAACAGTACCAATACCTTCTGAATATATTTTTGAGTGTTTACCTGCCTGGTAAATTTCCCTCACCTCTGGTGTAATATTCTGAAACCAAACGAAGTCTTTTGTCATGTGTCCGGTTGCACCACTATCCAGCAACCAAATTTTATCACATTCATCATTTTTTCCACGCATAAGTTGAAGAGCAAAATCTTTTTCTCTTTCGCCAGAACGAGATGAAACGTTCACACTTGTAGGTTGTAACTTCATTCTTTCCTTGTTACCTTTGGATAACTCACTTTTTGGATTCTTGTTTCTGTAATAGCAGTCCTTCGCGATGTGACCAGGTCGTCGGCAAATGTAACAATTCTTGGCTTATACAGTCAAAAGTCGTTAATTCGGACACCCATAATCCGGACCTCAAAGCTACAAACTTTCTGCTCATGCGTCGCGTTCACGCATGCGCACAGGCGTTTACGAGAGCGCATAAGACCCTTACAGCTGCGAATATGTTTGTGCGCATGCGCGTTTTATGTGTAACGGAGTTATACGCTAAGCTAAAGTTATCTAATTCAGTTAATATTGCAGATTGCGTTGTTCCTTAATCTTCGAATTGAATCCGGCTTATTATTTTTTGCAGACTGTTAGAGCAATTTTATAAAAGTAAGCCTGAACTTTCGATTATGTCAAATAGAATTTCCGATATATATTTACTACAAAGCGAAAGTATGTTTTGAAATCCGAAATCTGTTTATCAATTTCACGCTGCTCTGCGGCAGAGGGGAGGGGGCAGAAACGTCATTATTAGATTAGGATAGATTAGAAAGATTATGTCAAATAGAATTTCCGATATATATTTACTAATATGTAATTTGTATCTACAAAGCGAAAGTATGTTTTGAAATCCGAAATCTGTTTATCAATTTCATGCTGTCAGCACTATCCTTATCTTCAGAGCAGATGTTTTTATTTTATTTGGTTTATAATTCCGTACTAAGTGTAGTATTTCATTTCGATATACTCCGTCTTTGATATGATTTAAATCAAGTTCCTCGTCATTATAATTCGCTTCGGATAGTGAAGAAAGTGACCCAGAGGTTATTGAAAACGAAAACATTTCGATTGACAAATTAGTCGGTATTCTCAACACAGCAATTATTGGACTTGAACAGCGGAACTTTGTAACTAAACAAGAAATTATGTCTGTTTAATAGAATTAAAGAGAAAGTATTATCACATGAAACAAAGCAACTTGCATTGAAGGAAATGTTTAATAAAGTAAACAAATAAATATTAAGCTTTTTCTTTTTGTAAATTTTGATACCCTTTAGATCATAATTGTTCTTTATTTCATAAATTACGGTTTCATATTTTTAATTTTGTAATTTCTGCATGCCATCTTACCAGATTTAAATTGATGATCTATAATCCGGGAAAATCGATAATCCGGAATCGCCGAAGTCCCGACGAGTCCGGATTAACGACTTTTGACTGTAGTTTTTATTCCTTCTTGATATGGATGCCTCTGCGTTGTTTCCATCAGGTTGTTTCCCATTCGTTGAATTGTGAACGGACTCTTCCTCACGGAGTATCTCGAGTACTTCATCAATTGTTTTTTCACGCTGAGTTTTTACAATTTCCCTAATTCGAGAGAATTTCCCACAAAAAAATTTGTTTTACACACGGACTGTGTAAAACACCAGTTCTCAAGGAGATACATCTAGGCTTAGCGATTGACACTTAGTTGCTATTCCTTTCGCTCTTGCGATATAATCATTAGCCGACTCATGCAACTTCATTTCTAAATTTTTTAACTCATTACCAGCATCTATTTTTCGATCTTCGGCTTGTCCCGTAAATGTTGACTATTTTTTTCCAAAGAATTTTTGCATTCTCTTCTGTGAGAACTGAAGTGCCTGTTGATCCGATAATGAAAGTTTTATATATGCTACGGCGTCAGCGTTTTTCTCATTCCACAATCTTTCATCTTTCTCGTCTAAATTTTCTGGTTTTACTGTTGAAATTACCGAGTCAAGTCTTTTCAGTGATAAGGCAGCTTTAATTTTTAATGCCCAAATAAAATAGTTCTTTCCAGTTAATTCGGGAACGTTCCACTTCTCCATTTTTGGCTTCCACTAAGACAGTTTCGGTTTTGACTTGGTCTCTTATATCCAATTCTTCTTGACAAAACCACGGAGCTGCTACCATTTGTTGTCCAGAGGCCAATATTTAGAGTAAAGAAGCCATCGTAGGACAACACACTTTATTTACATGAATAATGAATAAAGATATCACACAGGAAATCATATTGAGTATCACACAGCAAATACAACATATCAGCATCTCCCTACGCTCGAAGCTCGAATGACGGATGTGTCGGTAGAAGAGACAGCTGCGCCATCATACGCATGCGCATAAGAAAAAACGTTCGCTCGCCTCTACCCAACATTTTTCTTTAATTATTTCTGCACAGTCTGCTCACCAACTCTGTACTGTAAAAACACTGACTTCATGCTTGATCAATTCTTTATATTACTTATTGTTTCAAGTTTCCAATGAATGGAAAGAACAACATGCATTCCCCCTTTCTCTCTCTTTCTACAAGCAATACTGATTACAGTAATTCACAATCACTTGTCAGTAGAAATATAAAATATAAGCTTTCCCCTGAAATGTTCAAGCGAGTTCTGAAAATAGCAATTTCCATTTCAGTGAAAGTAACAAAACATTATTTGCCAAACAGAACTTCTTCAATTGCTGTATTACCAAATTACAAAAGCATCTATTATCAGCTATACAAATGGGGACAGAACACATAAAGGGACTAGTAACTTCAGTTATGTTGTTAAACATACATTGGAAAGGGGAATGGCAGAAGAGGGAATAAGCCTGAAAAGTCATCAACTAAAGTTTCATTGTCTCACTAGTGGATCTTTGATGATTCTTGCAATGATATTTTCCCCAGCAGAGTGCTTTTTTTTAACTGTACAATACTTCATTTACTTCATACAAGAAGCAAAAAGGAGGTAAGACACCTTCAAATCTGTACGCCAGGGTGTTTATCTTCAAAATTCAAATGAGGCTTCCGATTTCTGATACTGTATATTCAGTTACCATTTTTGGTACACGCCGGGCAATGTTCTCAGAGAGATGGCTAAATGATTGATCAGTTTGGCCTTCCCTGGCTAATGCTTAGTTAGCAAAGTGTATGGTCATTAAAAAAATTCCTTTGGCATGATAGTAAAGGAGCCAGCAGAGCCCAGGTTCGCATTTTGAAAAAGGCGTGGACACTTGTAAGTGCATAGTTTTCTTGTGACAGTGCAACATTTAAAATACTGCCAAGCCAAAAATCCTTTTGAGAGGTTGATGGCAGGGGAAGAGGGATGGGAGACCTTGAATTCCCACCCCCACTATGTTCTCCATCGAAACTGTCAGAGACCACTGCTATTTTTCAAGAATGTAATTTGGTCTCTCTCTATGATGTATCTGGGCAATGTTTTTGGTGATGAAACAACTAAAAAACTGACCAGTTCACCTATAAAAATGAATGCTTAACTAACAAAGTGTCTTTTTTTTGGGGGGTGGGGATAATGGATTAATACAACAGAAGTATACAATTTGAATGCTAAAAAAAGGCATCATAAAAGATATCACAATGAAACGTGAAGGAATATGTGTAGGTAGATATGAAATTTTTCAAGCATTTCTGTATGAAGGTATAGGCAATTATCAGACGTCAACTGACTTTCAACAGACAACTGAAAAAATGATAACCAACACTAAATGGTCCACATCTGCAGTAGAAAATGTGTTTTGTGTTTTAAAATTCAGCACAATGGAATTAGTTATTGAAGTTCAATGCAAATTTTGATCAAGATTCAGAAAATGGCTTCCAAGCAGGAAGTTTATTCACCATTGTTATAAGAAATTTGAGAATTATGGGCCTTGAGTGCCTAAGAATGACCTGAATATCTACCAATAAAGCCCAAAGAAATCCGAAATAAAACAAGTTTTTAAATTTAAATTCCAGAGACTACACTTTTTTATGTAAAAAATTTTATGTTGAGTAGCTAAAATTAATTCTATGTAAATTTTAATTTCAGCATTACATAAATAAGCTTGACAAAACAAAGCTAAAGTCCTCCCCACTGGGGCTACTATATTCTTTGTTTCTCCAAACATGGGCATGTTATTAATTGAGATATGACACATAATGATTTCCTATAACATTGCACAGAATAAATGGGGAGCTGAAATCTGAATGCATTCTTCGAGATTTATTACCATATCTTTCTCTTGCAGCTCAAACCGCAATTTTTTGGACCAATTAGGTCTCACTTTTTTATGATTTGCTACTTACTATTTTTACTCTTTCATAACAACGTTGTATTTTGAAATATTTATTATCATCTTATTTATTTGTATCAAAATGTACACATATATCTGGACCCCAATTAAAAAATATTTAATTATTTCACAACTGTGAAAGTAAATAAAAAAAAACAATTCCATTTTTCCTCCTTAATTAACAGTCAAATAAAATTTCATATATTTTTAAACAATTATAGTTTTTATCCAAGAATCAAAATGACAGCTTTCACAATTTTCAGTAAAGAATCATATCCATAGTTCTAGTATTTTAACAACTTAAAAACTTGTTGAATGATAAAAACATAAGTGTTTATAAATGCCTTTTAAAAATTATGTACATCAACCTTACATTATATTAGATGTTTATTAAATTTAAATATTACCTGGAAATCATTTCTCTGCTATTTTTACTCTCTGTTTTTTCTAAGGCAACTAAAGCTGGAATAACACCTGTTTCAGCTAATGTTCTAACTCTTTTGTCAATAAAGTCTTTAGCATCCTGTTAAAATACACCAAAAAATGGATAGATGAGAAGCATTACAATTATAAACTTTAAAACAAGGTGAAATTTAACATTAAACAATATTCATATACTTTCTGAGTGAAACTGGCTCATATCTATGCACATACAACATGCATACATGATTCTGACATTATAATGAACACCTTCAAATAGATCTCAAAGAAAAAAAATTGATACACTTAAATATACTGTCCTTATTTCCTCAGACTTTTGGCTAACTTATAAATAAAGTAAAAGTTTGACTATCTGGCATTCAGTGAACTAGAAAGCTAAAACCGCTATTAACAGGCAGTAGAGAGCAAAGTGATCAGGGCAACTTTTGTTTCTGCATATGCAGACATCTGCATCCGAGATATTACAATGATAAAATTACCTTGGAAATGGACCATGGCCAGTAATATAATCAGTTAGTTTTGAGATGGTAATTTGACCTGAACCATCTAGTCTAGAGTGCACACCAACTGTCATGATGGTACAGGATTGGACTGTTAAGTTCTACTGCATTAAAATATTGTTGGCTGCTTCCTTAATGAATACATCTGTTGTTTCATTTCTCTCTAGCCAGGCATACGCTTTTACTCAAGTAAGATGTATGCATGTGCAAATGTTGTTAAATAGGAGTTACTGTATTCCATGATTAAGGGAGAAGCATGATTATAGTTCAGAATTGCAAGTGATGTCAAAATATCAGCAGTACAGATCATTGTTTTGCTGATGCTTATGAATGTTACATGTTCTGCGGGTGTTCTGATGGCAAGCATGTTGGCTTGAAAGAAACTGTTACAATGGTTAAGATGGCCTTTCCATGTATGTATATGTAATGCTGTCTCCTTCGAATTTAACAAAAGCATTTCCCACTCTTTCATCAGTTTTACAGCTATCTGTATAGATGATGATAACTCCTGCTTCTTGCGGAATATTGTACCTTACATTCTTTTTAATACAGCATTATTATTATTTCATAAGGCTTGGATATGAGGAGTCCAAGTGAGAGATTGATTCGACACCACACCAAAATGTTTCATTTTGCATATCTTGACAAAAAAAAAAAAAAAAAAAAAAAAAAAAAAAAAAAACGATATGCAACTTTGAAAATGGATAAACAATGACGATCAAACATGAAATATTAAGATTAGTGATTTAAGCTTTTTATTACATGCTATACCTGTAGTTATCTATTTATTATCTAATTAACTAAATAAATATCTGTTCATCTGAACTTCTGCCAGACCAATTGATGACATCTTTGTCAAAATATTCAGTGAGATTTCATAATAGGATCAGATGTTTTACTTTCACATTTAAGTAAATGAAATACATTGGCTTTTATGCCTGAAATGATTTTTTTAAAAAAAATTTTATGTAATTTTAAATGTAAGCTTTTCATTTTCAAACTGGTATGAAATAAGATGATAGTTTTTATAATTTTGGAGCAGAAAATTTTCCTATTCATATGGGTTTTTCTAAGATGAATTCCATTTTCCTACACTCAAATTTTCTTTTTTCAGGTATCTAAGATTTGGCATTACCTGAACTGCCCATATGATCGAGATTTTAGTATAGTAATATCTTATTTTATAAGAGTTAAATACTGAGAAATTAATATTAAAATAATAACTATTTAGTAAAAGTTATGAAGCAAGAAATAACATCTAGATAAAAATTACACTGGAATTTTTTTTGTAAGATAAACAATACAATTTAAAAGCAAAATTTATAACTTACCTTAACATGAGTTTCTGGAACATGCTGTTTTGCAAATTTGGCTAATTCAACAAGTTCAGGAATAATTTCCTCTTTATCGTAACTATTTGTAAGATTCACCAAAGTAGTAACACAGCCATACACTACTGATAAATCTCCAGTCTTAAAATAAGAAATTTTTGGGAATCAGACACAACATTTTACGTTTACAAACAGTAATGCATAAAATAAAGGAAAACTGCAAATAATAATAAATAAAGATTTATTTTCTGAATCATTACTTTAATCTTTTTTACAACAAGATATAATTTGCCACATATGTTTGATTCCATGACATTATTACAAATGGCATTCAAAGATAACATTAAAATTGATTTGCTGTTTTCTTGTCTTAACCCCTTCGCGCCGACTGTCACGTATACGTGCCAGCAATGAACGCACTTACCTACCGGCAGACACGCAGGCGTGCCAGAGGATTGTTCCATTCTCTAACGACTGTCACGTATTTGTGCCAGTACTTTGGAAAGTTTTTCAAACTATAATCTCTGCCACAAGATGGCATTGCATGTCCATATGGTTTCAGATACATGTAAATTAGACCTTCTACTCGAAATGAGAAAAGCATGACTCACATACACGTGTTTTTGATTATATAAATAAACGGGGAAATAAATGTTTCCAAATGGCGTGATTTATGACGTCTTTTTAAATCGCACTTTATTCGCACGTGGTAGTTGTTTACTGTAAGTAGAGAAGTTTTATTTGCTCTAAAGCGTTAGGTATTTCAGTTTTCAGTTCAGTTTTTAGAAAATAATTAGATCTTGTTAGACGTGAATTCTTTGTTTTTACCGTTGCAATGTCGAAGCGTCGAAAATGTTTAACAGAGCATGAAATAGCAGAAATGATGCAAAATATTTCAGATATTGATTCTGAAATTCTGATATTGATTCTGAAAGATTAACTGAAAGACATTTTCCAAAACTTTGTACAGAAGAGACTGATAAGAAAATGAGACGACGATGCTTCGTTTGTTCACATTCCCGGAAAAATCCTCCAAAACGGCAAATGAGTTATTACGAGTGCAAGGAATGTAACGTAGGGCTGTGTGTAGATCCGTTTTCAAATTTTTCATACGAAAAGAGAATTTTAAGTAATATATTTAGTTTTCAGATGTATAATGTTAAAATTCATAAAATGGTGAGTAATTAAAATAAAATGTGTAAAATATGCATTTAAACAAGAAATAAGGTAATTAAAGTATATATATAAAAATATTTATAAAGCATAAGCCATTTAAATACTCTATAGAGCATTATTAAACAATGCGTTGATACTTTGGAAATTTCATGGATTTAGGCTTAGTAGCAAAAAAGCCCACGGCCCTGGACAGACGCTCGCGTAAGACACTGCCGGCCTCAGCGATAAGCGCGCGTTTTCGCTACCCGGCTCGAAGGAGTTAATATAAATAGTAAATCACTAAATTTGAATTATGGAGTTATCAAATCATTTTAATAACTTTATCATGCACGGACAATTGTAAAAATCAAGTTATGATTCAGTAGAATATGTAGATGAAGTGTAAATATTTTTTGGTACCTGTGGTCAAATGAGTGGAAAAAGCTAGGAACAGTGTAAATAAGGATACAATAAAGAAATGTTGTATGATAAGTGGTATTTGTTGAGATTGGCATTAAATTTAAAAAAAAAATACATTTTAATACTGATTGAAAATAAAAGTGTACAGTTAGGTCAACAAAATAATGAAGAACAGCTTTGAGTTGAAACTCTCAAGTAGAAAGATACTTAAAATTAGTAACATAACAGCCTTGAGTTAGGCATAAGTTTAAAGTCAAGATCTTAATTAATTTCGAGGGAAACCAGATACAGGTCCCACTTCATCAGGAGCAAAGAAATCTGCAAGACTGATGTCTTTGAAATTAATTAAAATTGTATTAATGTAACAGTTTTAATAAACTGATATGCCATATTTGTATTCTTTATAACAAACTTTAAGAGCCCTGCACAAAGTAATCCATTCAGCAGATCAATAAAATGTTAATCATCTTTTGCAAGATGACCATACCCAGAAATGACAGAAATTGTCTGATAACAAACTTTGTTAATAGGAGAGAAAACTTAGAAATTAAAGTTTAAAAAAATAATATTTAGTTTCATGCAGCCTGCTGGGACATGGAAAAAAGCATGTTAAAAACGACAACAGATGAATTTATTAAGGAAAAAAAATCGATACTTTAAAATCTATACAGTGAACCCTCTAGTGGTGATCACTTCCAATAGAAGACAATTTCCGCATATGACCAGAAATAGTGACAATATAAACAAACACTTCTCTAAGAAAAACACCATCTAACTCGACTGAGACCATAAAATGCATTAATTTGTGACCATTAAATATTTTGTTTTAGTATTAAAGTAAAATACTTTAAAACATTACAAAATTAATAAATGTATCCCCAACCACAAAAAAAAAAAAAAAAAAAACTGCTTTTTATGAGGAAATGGCTATGCATTTCTGAACCATAAAATTCTCATTTCAGCATCAGACAATTCATCTTACAGACTGATTTATGAATGCTTATAGAGAAATACAATTTAAATTATTCATTAAATTCCTGAAGTGCTTATACTAATCATTCCCCTTCCTGTCTCTGCAGCTCACAAAGAAGAGCAAATTAATACTTAGAGTGACCATGACAGTTCCCTCCTGCTTTTGACATTGCTACAATCAAACCCTTATTTCAAAGTTGTAGCTCAAATGATGTAAGTGTATGATAAATTTCATAAATCTTAAATGATTCCTGTATCTTAAGATGCTTCTAAAACAATAAGTATTAAATTTAGAAAAAAGATTAAAAGTCGAAGATACTGCTGACACAGAAAGCTAGCAGAAAAATATCAGTACAGCAAAATGCATATCCAAAAAAATATTAAAAGCTTAGGAAGCAATTAAAAAAGAAGATTTAATTTTATGAACTGTAAGTACTTTTTTAATTACCATAATAAAATTTATGACACAGATTTTGTAGTTTCCCCTCCTTTTAAATCTAAGATCTATTATCTTCATTTTATAATATTATTGCATTATTAATAAACTAATGCACTGAATTTTTTTGTTTGTTTAACAGACTTCAAGAAGCTTCTTTAACAGACTCTAATGTAATTAATTCATCATATAAATGAATAATCACAACCATTGGTTGGTGACTTAATTAAAACCTTAACTGCCACAGAATACGTAAAAGATTCATTCCCTAGTGCTACCGCTTTTTACACAGGCGTGTGTAGTTATGCGATTATTAAGGGGAAATAAGTGCAAGTTTTACTTTCTAAAAACTGTTTACTTTCACTATTAAAGAATAAAAGGAAAAATGAAAGCACAAATTTTAATATCTAGAGTAAAAGTATAATAAAAAGATGATGTTTGTATAATAAAAAAGATCAATATATTTTTAGACCAGTTAAGTGTAATATCGGGTTTCAGTGTTATAAAATCAGTATACCTAAAAACACATACATTTCTTCTAAACTCGAATACCACAGTTTTGTTCTTAATTTTCCTTTTCCAGGGTGTTGGTTCATATACTTATCTGCAAAAAGTTAGTTTCGATAACAAGATAAAGCATGAGCAGTTCATCAAAAAATAATTCAAAAAAGATAAGTGGGTTTGAAACATCTGTTATATTTTTCTTTATTCCTGGCACCTAATAAACAGTAAATGAAAATGGAAGACACAGAATAAAAAATTTTTACTCAAACAGAAACACCAGCAAACACCGCGCAGTTATTACTTTCACTGTTTCAGAAACATCCCCCTATTCTCTGAAATAGTATCCCCCTTCGCATACTCTGTCAAAGTCATTGTGGTGTTGCATTCCAAAGCTTTGCAGATAATTTTACTGGTAGTAACGCAAAGCAAGTGATAATATTTCAGAAGAACGTATATATACGCCCACTGCTGTTAAGGGGTTAAGACACCTTCACAGATAACCAAAACTGTATGAAACATTGTCTGATTGTTTTTGACGGCATTCACTGAATATTTGATTTAAATAACATTCTTACTTATACACACAGTAAATTTCAGAAGATATTTATAAAAAAATATATTTTAAAAAATCAAAAAGCTTTCAGATTTTATATTACACACAAAGGAGCGTTTTCTAAACATTTTTTGTGTTACTTTTATTATTAAATATCACGTTCTTTACACTTAAACCATAAAATTCAATTAAAAAGCAATACAGTCAAAAGTCTTTAATCCGGACTCATCGGGACTTCGGCAACTCCGGATTATAGATCATCAGCTTAAATCTGGTAAGATGGCATGCAGAAATTATAAAATTAAAAATATGAAACCATAATTTATGAAATAAAGAGCAATTATGATCTAAAGGGTATCAAAATTTACAAAAAAAAAAAAAAAAAAAAAAAAAAGCTTAATATTTATTTGTTTATTTTATTAAACATTTCTTTCAATGCGCGCATGCGTAAAGCATACATTACGCATAGTTGAAATTAGAAAATTGCAACCAGAAAACTAATTGATGTGTGATATTTATAATGACGAGGAATTTTATTTAAATCATATCAAAGACAGAATACATCGAGATGAAATACTACATTTAGTAAGGAATTATAAGCTTAATAAAATAAAAACATCTGCTCTGAAGATAAGGATAGTGCTGACAGATCAACTTCCAAATCATTGCGTTCCCGATGTTCCCCCCTTACCCCCCGCAGAGCAGCGTGAAATTGATAAACAGATTTCGGAATGGTTAGAGAAACAAAGCATATGCCTTTATCCATTTTTTGCAGCAATTCCACTTTTTGTTTGATGGACATCGAAACATACTTTCGCTTTGTAGATCCTTTACATATTAGTAAATACATATCGGAAATTCTATTTGACATAATCGAAAGTTCAAGCTTACTTTTATAAAATTGCTCTAACAGGCTGTAAAAAATAATAAGCCGGATCCAATTCGAGGATTAAGGAACAACGCAATCTGCAACATTAACTGAAATAGATAATTAGATAATTTTAGCTTATCTTATACCATCCGTTATACATTAAACGCGCATGCGTAAACATATTATGCGCATGCGTGAATGCATTATGCTTTTATGCATGCGCAGAAAGT